TGGGGGCAGCAGCGGCTCCCTGCCCTCCCCTTTGGGAATGGGGAATATCGGGATTTATTGGTGCTGGGGGCAGCAGCGGCTCCCTGCCCTCCCCTTTGGGAATGGGGAATATCGGGATTTATTGGTGCTGGGGGCAGCAGNGGCTCCCTGCCCTCCCCTTTGGGAATGGGGAATATCGGGATTTATTGGTGCTGGGGGCAGCAGGGCTCCCTGCCCTCCCCTTTGGAAATTGAGAATATAAGAATATCGGGATTTCTTCCTTCTCCCTGGAATGGGAGGGCACCAAACGCCGTGCCTCAGTTTCCCCGCGGAGAAGGAGCGGAGCGTGGTTAGGGTGGGGGCCTGGCTGGGCTCTCAGAGGGGTGAGGAGAGGGAGGCTGGGCTGGTGCCACCCGTTATCTGCAGTTATTCCTGGAATCTGATTCCAGGCTATATTTAATGGCACTGATTAAATACCTTGGGCGATAGCGCCGGGGTGACCCGGTCCCATCAAACTCCAGCAGCAAGTTCCAGCCCATAACCCCACCCTGGCTTTTCTTTTGTCTTCTCAACAACTTCATCTTCCCTCGAGCCAGAGCCCTGGATGTCTGCACGAGGAACCAAAACAAGCCTATAAAATGAGGGCCCTGAGCCCTGTTATTGCACTCCCTGAGTAAATAACTTTGCTGGGGAAGATAATTCCATCCAAGCTCTCCCTGACAACATTTGGCTTGGCAAGATGGCCCAACCCTTGACATTTTTGTTCAGCCTCATCCCCTCTCTGCAGCAGCTTCAGATTTTAATTTTTTGTTCTGTTGTCATCCAGACTTAAGTCATCAGTGGCTGCTCCCTGTGCTGCAGTCAAATCCAACTCATTGTTTAGGAAAAAAATAATCTTAGAAAGTCTGTCTGCCTTGGATGGAGCCAAGGAATGGGCTGTGCTGTGCTGCCCGGGGGGGCTGGGATGGCTCAGACAAGCCCTGACAGCCACAGCTCCCAGATCCTGCTCCTGCTCCAGCCCAACTCAGGCTGCAAGGAGCAGAGCTGGATTTGGGGTGGTGGGACCACACTGTCCTGTCCCAGGAATCACAATCACGGAGCAGTCTGGGTTGGAAGGGCCCCTAAAGCCCACCCAGCCCCACTCCATCCATGGCAGGGACACCTCCCACTGTCCCAGGCTGCTCCAAACGCCAGGGTCCAACCTGGCCCTGGGCACTCCCCGGGATACAGGGGCAGCCACAGCTCCATGTGCTTCTCCAGGGTGGAGATTTAGGGGATTTAGGGCACAGTCTGGGGCCTGGGTGGGAGCAAAGCTCCTGGGAGCCTTGCAGGGTGAAGGCTGAACCAGGGATGGGCTGGGCTGGGGAGGGGGTGACGCTGGCTTCGTGCTGTGTCCATCCCCAGGAGCACCTGAGAGAAGGCTCTGGGTGCTGGCCTCAGCTCTGTCCCTTCCCAAGCTCCCAGGCTCTCACAGGCTCTGCTCACCAGGTCTTGTCTTCCCCAGGGCCACTGTCCCACGGAGAGCGGGTCACCCCACACTGGCTCCTGGGGGGCCGTGCCCGGAGAGCCGTCAGCCTGGAGGAGCAGGTAAGGGCTGGGCTGCTCCCTCCTCCCTCCCGTGCCTGGTGGGACGGGGATGGAGGCCTTGAGTTTGCAGGATCCATGAGCAGGGTGTGGGTTTCAGGATCCATGAACAGGGTTTGGAGTTTCAGGATCCATGAGCAGGGTTTGGAGTTTCAGGATCCATCTCCATCCTCAGGTGATGAACAGGGAAAGCAGAGCACGCAGCAGTGGGTCAATTAAGCATGGTGTTAATAATGCTGGCAGGAGGAAGGATGGCCAGGGGCTGCAGGGTGAGTGGAAGGGATCCATGAGCTGCGAGAGAGGAGCTGGAGGTGATGGCAGCTCGTGGTTTGGCCGGGATAGAAGGAAAGTGCTGCCAGACTGGAGAGCTGTGCCCTTGGGAACAGCCATGGGGAAGCAGAGGACGTCCCCTCCCAGGGCTGTCACCCCCTCCCTGGCGCCCCCACTGTCCCCAGATCCCTCCATGAGCTGTCTGTGGCCACCCTGGCCGGGGCTTGGCCCCTTGCCCGGTCTGGGTTCAGCCAGAGCTGCAGCTGTCCCTGGGAGGGGCCGGGGGCTCTGGGCAGCTCCAGCCTCTCCCCAGCTTGGATTCAGCTCCGAGGAGCTGCCCTGCCCGGGAGCTGGGCTGAGAACGCTCTGCTGGGAGGGGACTCTGGTGCCACCTCACCTGAGATGCTCCAGGTGAGCCCTCCTGGCTCCAGGAGATACCAAAGGCATCAGGGGCTCAGGGGTCGGTGCTGCCCTGGCCCTCCCTGCCCTGGCTGCTCCTCAGGAGCTGGGCCAGCCCGGCTGGGGGCTGTGCTGGCCCTGCAGAAATGTCCCCTCCCTGGCAGTCCCGGCTCTATATTTAATTTGGAAGCCACTTGAGATAGGGGACACATGGCAGGGGAGGTTTATTCCTGCTCCTGCCAACACCCCATGCCCAAGTGGTGCAGGGGCTGCAAACCACAGCAGGGGGATTTTGGGGGATTTGGGGGACTGGAGTGGCTGGGCAGGACCCGCCGTATTTCCTGGCATCTGCTCTGCTCCAGCTCCAGGCAGCCGGGAACAAGGAGCCTCCTGTTCCTGGAGCAGGGAAGGAGGGGACAGAGGCGTGGTCGGTGCTGGAGAGGGGGGGATTCATGGGGGAAGAATGGGGGTGACCAGGCTGAGGATGGGATGAGCCCTACACTAGCCCTTTTTGCCCTGGTACTGCTGAGGTTCATATTTTTAGGGTCAATTTAGTCTGTTCTGTCCCCACCTTGTCTCCTCCAACCCTGCAGCCCTGTGATCCTTTGGGAATCCTGTGGGATTCCTACATCTGTGGGAAAGCCTGTGCCAGGAGACAGCACCCCAGCCCACGGAGTGATGGGCTCCAGCCTGGTGACTCCTCAGGCTCTTCCACCCCTGCCCTGGGGCTGCTCCTTCATCCCTTCATCCCTTCACCCCTGCCCTGGGCTGCTCCTTGTGGGATTCTGTGGGATGCCCTGGGATGCTCTGGGATGCTTTGGGATGCCCTGGGATGCTCTGGGATGCTCTGGGATGCAGGGATGCTGTGGGATTCTCCGGAATTCTCTGGGATGCAGGGATGCTCTGGGATGCCCTGGGATGCAGGGATGCTCTGGGATGCAGGGATGCCCTGGGATGCAGGGATGCTCTGGGGTGCAGGGATGCTCTGGGATGCTCTGGGGTGTTCTGACATGCTCCGGGTGTCCCACTGTCCCTGGCCATGCCCGTGTCTCCTTTTCCCCAGCAGGAGGGCGGTGCTGGCCCCGCGGGGCCATCGTGTGCGGGCGGGCAGCGCTGGGTGGGCTGGCTCTGCCTCCCCTGCACCTCCCCTGTGCCATTGTTCGGGCTCAGCTGCCCCGGGCTCCCGCACACATGGAAGGAGTTTGGGAGGGGGTCGTGGGGACCCTGATTGCAAACAGCTCCCTCGGACCCTGCGCCACATTCTGTTCCCCCTTCTGCTGCCCCTCCATCCCCTCCATCCCCTCCATCCCCTCTTCCCCTTTTCCCCTTTTCCCCTTTTCCCCTTTTCCCCTTTTCCCCTTTTCCTTTCCCTCTGGAGGTGTGGCCAGACTGAACAAACCCTGCCCGGTTTGTTGTGCACCATCCCAAATGCTGCCTCTGCCCCAGGGCCAGGACTGCCCTGACCCTGAGTCCCAGGGATGCTTTCCCAGAGAGCAGCCAGCACGGGAGGCTGGTCCATGAGCTCCTGGATCCTTCTCCTGGTGCTGGCCAAGTGATGCAATCCCTGAGCTGCTCCTCAAAGCCCCAGGGCTGGGATCAGCTGCCTGGGGAGGCCCGAGCTGCTCCAGCAGCTGCAAATCCCATCAATAAATCCTCCACGGAGCATCTGGTAGCTTCCCCTGTCCTCCCCGACACATCCGGCTCTGGGAGCTTCCTCAGGAGCTCAGGGCTTGTGGGAGCTGCCTGAGCAGATGGCTGGGCTTTGGGCTGGGCTTTGGGCTGGGCTTTGGGACTTGGCTTAACCGGTGATTTCCCAAGGAACTCGGTGCTCCCTGAGCCTGCTCCTGGAAGAGGCACTGTGCTGGAGCAGGAGCTTCCCAGCAGGGCTGGAGGCAGCCTGGATGGGGAGGATGTTCAGGAGCTGTGGGGAAACAGGGAAGAGCAGCTCAACCCCCTTGGCCCTCTGCAAGGAGTGCTGAGTCTAAACAATGGAGTGAAAAATGAAACCAGACTTGAGCTGGACCTGGAGGGTCCCTGGGGCAGTCCTGGGCTGGGACCTGGCCAGGGCAGAGTCAATTCCAAAATTCCATAATTCCATAATTCCCGTGGGAGTGGCTGTGCTGGGATGTCCTGGAGAGGGGCCTGCACCACCTGCACACCCAGCCAGGGCTGAGAAGGGAGATCCTGCAGCCTGGGCAAGGACTGGGACACTCTGGGCATGGCTGCTGGAAAAAGGAGATCGGGGGAGCCGGGAAAGGGCTGGAGCCAGGATGGGACTGGAACCTGTGGGGATTGCTGGGATCCAGGAGGATGTTGGAGCCTGAAGTCATTGTGGAGCCCAGGGTGATACTGGAACTTGGGATGTTGCTGGAGCCCAGGATGATACTGGAACTTGGGATGTTGCTGGAACCCAGGATGATACTGGAACTTGGGATGTTGCTGGAGCCCAGGATGATACTGGAACTTGGGATGTTGCTGGAGCCCAGGATGGTGATGCTGATCTTGGAATGTGCTGGAGCCCAGGACAGTGCTGGAGCCTGGGGTGATGCTGGACCCTCAAATGATGCTGATCTTGGAATGTGCTGGAGCCTGGGATGATGCTGGAGTGTGGGATTATGTTGGACCCTGGGATGATACTGAAGCTTGGGATGTTGCTGGAGCCTGGGATGATGCTGGAATTGGGAATGTCCTGGAATCCAGGGTGATGCCGGACCTTGGGACATTGTTGCAGCCTGATAAATTGTTGCAGCCCAGGCTGATACTGGAGCCTGCAAGATGCTGGAGCTGTGGAGGATGCTGGGCCTTGGAATGATGCTGGAACCTGGGATGATGCTGGAGTTGGGAATGTCCTGGAATCCAGGGTGATGCTGGACCTTGGAATTATGCTGGACCCTGGGATGATATTGGAAGCTGGAATTATTTTGAAACCTGGGATGATGCTGGAGCCTGGGATGATGTGGGAAATTGGGATTATTTTGGAGCCTGGTATGATTTTGGAAGCTGGAAGATGCTGGAGCCTGGGATGATGCTGGAGCCTGGGATGATTTTGGAAGCTGGGCTGATGTTGGAGCCTGGTATTATTTTGGAGCCCGGTATGATGCTGGAAGCTGGAAGATGCTGGAGCCAGGAGGATGCAGGAGTGCAGGAAGAAGCTGATCCTGGATCATTCCCGGTTTGCAGCATCATAGCAGGAGCCCTGGGCTCAGGCCAGGTCTGAGGCATCATGAGCAGTGTTTGTTTAATTAATGCCCGAGGCACAATGAGCAGTGTTTAATTAGTGCCAGCACCTTGCCCCAGGGTTGGGTACTGGGCTCCTGCCTGGCACAAGTGCTGTCCACATTCCCCTTTCCCTGTTTCTACTGCCCGTGATCCCTGCAGGAGCTTGTGGTGCATCCTCTCAGAGGGAGGGGACACAAATCCCATCAGCAGCTGATGGTTGTGCAGCCTTTGGCAGCCCGGGAGAGGGGATGGGAGCTGCCAGTGCCGGATAACCCTGGACACGCACGGGTCCCTTTAAGACAGCAGCTGGGAAAGAAAGAACTGTGCCAGTAAGGGCCCTGGAGTCGAGCACGGAGTCATTGCTGGGGAATTCTGAGCCGGGAGCAGCCCCGGGCCTTGGGGAGGAGGAGGAGGAGGAGGAGGAGAGGGCTGCAGGGAGCGGGTGTTGGGGAGATCAGAGACGGGGAGAAAAAAAGGGAGGGCAAGAGCGGGGAAAGGAGGGAAACGGCAAGAAAAATGTCCAGACCATGTTTGGCCAGGGAGCGATGTTTGTACAAGATCATGTTCCAAAAATACCGCCCGTTCCCAGCACTGCTGGGGGAGCTGCAGCCCCTGCCCGGCTCCAGCAGGGCTCTGCAGGGCTCTGCTCGGGGTGGGCACAGGGCACACAGCACAGGGCACAGGACACCGCGGCCGAGCCAGGGACACTCGCTGGGCAGTGCTGGAGCTGGGGACACTCGCTGGGCTGTGCCGGAGCTGGGGACACTCGCTGGGC